AGGCGGGCGGCAGGCAGGGCAGGTGTTTTATTATCTTTTCTGTCTTTTTTTTTTCTTTTTTTAAGCCAATATGAAAAGTGAGGCTGAAGCTGGCTGGAAAGAAGGCGAGCCCCAGCGGGGCGTAGAGGAGAGCGTGGTGTTTTCCGCGGTAGAAACCTGGTTGCCTGTTGAAGGGGCCTCTTGACAAGGCTGCCTCTGGGCCCAACAGCAACGAGGGGACCTTCCGTCTCCTCCATCTTTACAGCCGTGGAGATCCTGATGTCTTCTTCCACCTGGTCCACCACAGGTGGTTTGTCTAGTACCTCCCCTCCGCCCTCTTCGCTGTGGGCGATCCTGCCAGGAGCACGCGTCTCCAGGCAATGTAGCTCTGAGGATTGGGGGACATGCAAACCTCTACCGCTGCAAGGTCTTGGTCCACAGAGAGGGGGAAAAAAGCCCTATGTTAGCTGCTTTTATGACAGAAACTTCTCCTCTGTAGAAGCACAACAGGCAAAGAGCTCTGGGCCACCGGCAGGGCCCTCCCTGAAAGACCCTGTGTGCAGGGACCCCTAGAAGTGCGTTGTGCGGCCCCCATCCCCCTGGGCACAGTGGACATGCTCAAGTGGTTGTGGGTTAAGGCCAGGTTGGAGGGAAAGGAGGTATGCAGAGGGATTTGCCCTGTCGCCATATTGCATTTTGCAAGATGTCAGAGAGACTAGTGCAGAGGGGAACAGCTGAGGAACGAACCACCCCCCGTGGGTGTCATTCGGAGCGGTGCGTGCTGTCTCCATCTGTCATTTCAGCAGAGGGGTGAATTTGGCTCTTTAGAGCAGGGTTGGGCAAAATGCAGCCCACAGGCCGGATGTGGCCCACCAAGCCATTCCATCCAGCCCACGGGGCCCCTAAAAAATTTAGAAAATTAATATTTATCTGCCCCTGGCTGACTCTCATGCGGCCCTGGATGGCTTGCCAAAACTCAGTAAGCAGCCCTCCGCCCAAAATAATTGCCCGCCCCTGCTTTAGAGCGTATCCTGCCATCTCCATCTCCCAGGGAAACTAATCCCTTTGCGAGCTGTAGAAACAACTGTGGTTTTGCAGAATTCTTATGCAAATCTCTATCCATCAGTCCAGCCAAATAGAAGAAGAGTTTAAAAAGCCATATTTTGCAGGTCAAATGAAGTTTGCTGAATGGCTTGGCTTGGCTTGTTAACAGAAATAGAACTGCATTTAACCATCCTGAAGGGAGATGGTGACTGCTGCTCAGTCTATAGCACCCTCTTGTGTGATAAAAGGGCTGTATGTGATTATTATGCGCAGCATCTTGGCTTTGACTTGGAGTAGGTATTTATATTTAATTTATAACTGTCTGTCTTCTTGTGTTTGTTTATTCTAGATGCATCAGTTCATGATATCTGCCAGTGTGCTTTGGTCATACACTGGAGATCCTTCTGTCTTTTCAGTGCCTTTACATCACTTCCATCAATGGCTGCTCTAGTGCCCTTGTCAGGTAACATAGAAGTTTCTCTGACTTCAGCATTTTCTCAAATTAGAAAGGCAGGCACTGCAGCAGGCAGTTATTCTTTGCGTCATCCATCAGGTTTTCCTGTTGGGAGGGTGTTGGTTCAGAGAAGCACCTATAGCAGCAAAGATCAAGCTGTGTTCAGGAGCAGGTTCAGCCTGGCTTGGTGTCAGGCTAACATAGGCGTTTGTTTTCCATCACTGCAACCTTTTCAGCTGTTAGGTTGCCTCCTAATCCCATTTCAGCACTATTTAAGGGTAGCAACAAGGGTTTCATTTGTAAAAACTGGCTGCTGGTGTTTTCAGCTTAAAATGTTGTGAGAATGGGTCTAGTGAATGTAAAGGTGGAAACATCTAAGCCCTGTATACACCAACACTGGCTGTTTTTAACAACAGTGGAGCTACACTGGCTCTAGTGCAACAATGAGAGAATTTAGCAAAATTTTCTGTGTAGAAAGAGGTTCTTGGAAGGTCTGGAAACCAGTCGAGTGTAATCTGTGTGGCAAGCTCTGTGTTTTAAATAAGAGGTGAGTTCTTCACTATTAGTTATGGAACCATTATCAACCAGTTGTCTAAAATGGTGAGATAAACATGTTTATGAGTTACGAACTTGTTAACTCTTGTATAGAAGGAAATTAGGGTGAAGCAGCTACTTTCCAGGGCAGAGGGAGGGTCTTGTGAGTCAGCACTGGACTCTGCAGGAAAGCTGTATTCAGTTCTTGGGCACGGGGACTGTGACAAACTCTGGAGGGTGTTTGTGTGATTTTCATTTGGAGGACTAAGAAAGTAGAGCCAGTCAAGTCCAATTGGCTCTACTGATACTATCCTCCTAGATTAAACGGTGGAAGAACAGGGCCTGTCTGTGAGATGGAGTCAGGACCTACTTCACCTACCAACAGTAATTGTTTAGTTTATGTTGCAGATTCTCATGGCAGTTAAAGGGATGTGACCAAGTTGATGATTAAGTTTTATAGACAGAGCTGTTGTCGCTAGTAATTACCTGTCTGAAATTTTAAAACTCCTTTGTACCTTTCCACACTGCTTCCTGGTGGTAATGTTGTTTTAGGCATGTCAAGTTGCATGTTGTTAAATTCTCACTGTTAAATTTTTGCATCTTGTCTAATCTGCTTATGTTTGTTTGTAGCATCCTGGATCCCTTCGTCCCAGGCTCCTAATTGGGCTGGACTTGTGAGAGAGGCTGGCTATATGAAAGATCACGGTAACCAGTTTGCAAGCTGAAATTGTGCTAACCGAGAAGCTTTGTTCTGCAATTATCTTGTGAACCTGTCAGCTCTGCGGCTGGTGCTTTCATGCTGCTGCTCACCATACCACAAAAAACGCAGTCTTAAAACAGCTTCATTTGATGCCCTCAAGTGGTGACACTGTGTACTGGTGTATTTAAATTAAGAGTGCACAGATGAACCAGCATCAGTCAGAAAAGTTCATTAAATACTTGGCACCCCGAGTCACAAAAATGCCAGAGTCTAAAATTCCTTGCTCTGCCATAGGCTGTCTGTGTGGCCTTGGCAATAGAGTATTATTCATTATTTCTATTACCACATGGCCTAGGACCCTTGAGTATCTTGGTTTTCTCAACTACAAAATGCAGGTTGTGCCTCCTTGCCTTGGCAGATGTTGTGAGTGTAAATGTATTAATAGGAGTAAGCTGCTTGGATACTGAAATGACAGGGAGCCATAAAAAGAGACAGAACCAGCAGGGGATGGGGGAATGGACTGAATAGAGACCATCCCCATCACTATCTGAGACAGTTGTGTTATTCATGTCCTTGTCATTCTGGATGAAAAAGCAAAAGCTGCCTTTGAAGGAATACTGAAGAGTGAGCTAGAAAGTGGAACTATCAATTTGATTTCTTTTGCAAAATCCTAAAACAGATTTATCTCTAGGGTCAGCACAGAAATGGACACAAGCGCAACAGCGCATGTATTGAGTTTTATGGGAGAGTTAATCCAGCCTGCTCTCAGTAATTTAAAGGGACAGTGGATGCTTGCAATTAAGTAAATGAAAGACTAGAAGTACTTGCAGGTGCTGTCCTTGTCCCTCAGCCCTATTATACAGGATTGTGGTTTACCATCATTTTCTTCTTCCACAAGTTTCTGTTTTTCAGTGCTGCACTATTGTAAGGCTGAACTCAGCATGGTGCTGTCAGACACAGTTAATAAACTGACAAAGTAAATAAAACAGCAGCAGATTGGGAAAAATTAACCATGGAGCTTATTGTAACAGTTGGAGGTAGGCAGTTTTTAGAGACATGTAGACTGTTTTAGATGTGCCAGTGGCCCCCTACATGATCTACTTTTAGCACTGAGCCAAATTTTCTTTGGCCAATCCAGAGAGGAGAATTAATTTTGTTTTATTCATAGGCTCATCTACCCCTGAAGTACTGATTATCCAGTGACATCCATAATTAAGAAAAATACATTAGCAGGAACATTCTTTTCTCAGATAAACCTGGATGGAAATGTTAGTCTGCTATGGGGCTGCCCTGTTTAACAAATAGCAATGTGCTCCAACTTAAGGAGGAAACTTATGCATCATTTTCAAATGCAGGTTTCAGCTTAGTATGGGGTTAGGCCCTCATTATTTTCAGTACAGATGCACTGAGCTTTCTCTTCTGTGCGAAGCATGTCTGCAAAACTCTATTGAAATAACCTTACAAGGATTGGGTGCATAATCAAATCCAGTCAGTAGACTTTGTAATGGAAATGGTGCTAAGGCATATATATTTGCAGGTAACTCGGAGTGACAACTGGATTTCAAAAATTCAGGTTGTTTATGCCTATTTCCTAGCTGCATAAATATTTAAGTAAGTGACAAACTTTGGTTTCCCATGGGAGACCCTTGGGTTACAGCTGACAAGTGAAGATTTTATTAAGCAAAACATGGCAAACTAATTTCCTATATTGTTTATAACCAGATAGTTAATTATTGGCATATCTGTTTTTAGATATTTTTGCAGTTCATTTTGTCAGTCACTCCAGGTCTTTGGTAATGAACACTAAGTTCTGTTGTGCTCAGCATCCAGTTCAATATTAAATCGGCGCGCATGCTGCATGCAACAGATTTATAAAGTAAGCAACACAGTGACCTAGCTATGTGGCACTTGCATAGATCCCCACTACCATCTTATCTGAGCAGCTTACAATTGCGTAATGTATTTGTCCTCACAACACCCTTGTGCGGGAGCAAAGTCTTGTGGCCCCTGAGGACAGCTTGCCAGTGGAATCGGTTTTGGTAGCACCTTAGATGAATGCATAAATGAAAGGATAAAAACATGGATTAGCACCTCATTAGGATGTGAAGCTGTTAGCGGTGAGTGGCTTAATTTCAGCATGGGCACCAGAGAGCACATTTCTATG